CGAGAGAGATAAACACCTTTATTTGCCATAAAATTATTCGTGTTAAGACCCGGTTAATAATTTAAATAATGTATATAATATATATACAAAAGCACAATAATAATATATTCAGCATACCATAATAAACAGTGAATAAATAATACAGAACAACTTAAAACTTAAAACTTTTTTTTTCGGATTCTCTTTCGGAATCCTGATGGCCGCATCTGGTCTTTACAGCTTCACCGGACTAATAAAAGTTAATATCGCAGTACGAGCTGAAAGACCATCCTCTCAACTGGTGCCACCATTAAATATTTAATAGGTACTTGGTCTTTAATGAATATCTTCTGATGTTAAGATATAAGTTATATATTTGTAAATATATATATTTCTCGAAAATATATGTTCTTCTTCTTCATTTATGTTACTATGTACATATTGTACTTGTACCTAATACCATATAAAATACACTTAATAACTTCACACAACTAATGTCAAGCTAAGCAGAGCTTGTGATATGGGTATTGTTTGTTTGTATTGCAACTATAAAAACTTAGATATTTTTTCTTGTAAATACATACATAATATGCATAGAAAACATCCTGACCGATACAAAAAAACTACTCATGAATACAAATGTTTATACCATGGGAATTAAGCGGTGTGCTGAAAAGCCAGACCACCGAGGCCGTCAAATAAATTAAAAATAAAATATAAAACAGTGATCGGATCGTGTGATGTAAAGGCGCTCTCCACGCCCGCCTTACGACGGTCGGTGCGGGCTTTTTGTATTTTCCATTATAGCTTTATGGAGTCTTATTTTCATAAATATGGCGGCTTAAATACTCCCCGCAGTGTCTCCGCGATGATTTACAAAGTGGCGCGTGTCGTCGCTCGGTTTACTTTCAAGAACATTGTACCTATTTGGGTACATAATGTTGTTTCCCATTATTACTACCTTTATAATAAAACTAGCTTTTGCCCGCGGCTTCGCTTGCGTTAATTTATCCCCTTAAGGGTGGAATTTATCAAAATCATTTCTATGGGGATGCCTACGTCATAGTAGCTTTAAGCATGCAAAATCTCAGCTCGATCGGTTTAAAATTGACAAAGTTTCATATAAACTTTCATCCCCTATTTTATCCCCTTGGGGGTAGAATTAATCAAAATCTTTTCTATGGGGATGCCTACGTCATAGTAGCTTTATGCATGCAAAATCTCAGCCCGATCGGTTTAAAATTGACAAAGTTTCATATAAACTTTCATCCCCTATTTTATCCCCTTGGGGGTAGAATTAACCAAAATCCTTAGCGGATGCCTACGTCATAACATCTACCTGCATGCCAAATTTCAGCCCGATCCGTTCAGTGGTTTGCGCTGTGCGTTGATAGATCACTACGTCAGTCACCTTTGAGTTATATATATATATATTTAGATAGCTGACTGTAATACATTTTTCTATGTATATAATTCAAAGAAGCTAACGGCATATCTGATGATAAGTGTATCTACATCACTAAGGTAACGATGGGGGAAGGGGATTTGTTAGTATTGAGGACTAATAACTCTATTGTTTTAACAGTCTCTGTGGTCTAGTGGTTTAAGACACCGCCTTACGTCCGATGGTCGCGGGTTCGATTCCACGACGGTACAAACATTTGTATTCATGAGTATGATTGTTTCTATCGGTTTGGGTGTATTCTATGTATAATATGTATGCATTTAAATAAAAATCTATGTATTTGTAACAGTCATTACCCATAACACAACTTTTAGCTAGTTTAACGTAGGTCAAGATGGCGTTGTGTGAATTGTCCTATTATTATTATTGCTAGCAATGTACTATGTTAGATTACCCCCTAGAAACTATTGTGATAAATAGACTGCTCAATGTGCTGACCATGTACCATATCAGGTCGGAGTCCACGCGGTCCGCTTTGAAAATCATCGTGGTAAATTCGCCTCGTGCAAACTGGCCTGACTTCAGTTGCATCCTATTATCCTCCACTGATGCGGTGACTATCACATTAGACCGGCGGGTACATACTATTCCCCTTATCATCCATTATAAAAAACGACTAATTTGCCAATTTAGAGGACTATTATGTCGATCGACTACAACCGAAACAAAGTTACAAAACAAGCTGCTTGGTAGCTGAAATAGGCGAATGAATGAATGAATTAGTTAATTAATTACTGTTTATTTATTAAATATTGTAATTTGCGCAAGGCGGATCCTATATAATAAATAAGCCATTTTATATAGCCATTATATAGGCGTGTATCTTAACGTACAGTTGTATATATAATATTAATACTGCTATAGACATAATAAAGGCAGTGACAGGTTAAATTTATCGAATTCAAGTGTTTTGATCACTTGAAAGGATTGGTTTTAATCTCGAAGCTCGATATATCAAAAAAAATGAAATCACTTTCCCAACAACAATACTTTATAGAACAAAATCATAACAATGTTGAAACTGCTACTGCCATCTAGGTGGTAAAATAATAATTAATATTAGTATTCAGCGCCATCTATTGAAATACATTTGAATGAACAATTACACTTGCTTTCTACATTTGACGTATATGCTTTAGATGGTTGTTTGTCAAGTTTCATTTAAATACAGTGGTACACAATAGATGGTGCAATATACAGAAATACCACAATTTTAATTAGAAAATAGATTAAGTTTATACAGTTTTATTGTTGTCATAAAATGGCACACAAACAATATGTGTAGGTTTTATATGTCTATAAAAATATATTGTTATTTATATACACTTCATAAACTATAGACCAAATTTAATAATAGATTGTAGTAGTGTAAATACATTAAATATTTATTCTTGGTTAAATATGTTAAAACAAGTACTGCCTATGTTTCGTTTCCATCTTTTGAGAGTTTACTATATTTCGCTCTTTTTATTTAGAGAAAACGGACAGAATGACTTAATAATTCACTTTATGCAGGACGACGTGCCTAGATGGCGCTAGTAGTATCCTGTAACGACGGGAAAAATCATTGCTTAAAAAATAAGTTGCAAAGATATATCCTAAACATCCGTGTAAAATACACGATATCTATCAAGATATATCTAATATTAAATACTATCCATTTAATGGAATAAATGAACATTGTGTTTTAACATTATGTTTAAAATTCAACTTTAATTAAACCTTCTTATATAAAATCGAAATAAAAATAACAAAAAATATTATTAATAATTAATTTTTATTCCTTTAATAAGGGTATACAGATTATTATAGAATTAACTCTTGAATATTTAGTCGTCATAATTCTGAATAGTAGGTATATAAGTTGTATCTAGTAGTAAATTTTTTGCCAATAGTACGTACATATGGCATAGCCACGCCCAGACATTCTATACCATGACAATCTGTGCTGTATCTATGTGCAATTGAATACGTTTCTTTATTCGAACAAGGACCCTGGGACCACTCCTTGAATCCACTCTTTATGCTTGTTACAATGCAAATAGATATTTACGAGCTATTATGCATACTTTATCTGTCAAGTTAATTTTCCGAACAATCTCCGGTGCAGTTCTGTTATCTCAGTACTTTTTTAATTTTTATTTTATTGCCCTTTTTTCGAACTAGAGGTTCCACTGTATGCTTGTTATTCTAATATTCAAGTAGACATCTACGAGCTCTATATACATCCTTAATTTTTCGAACAATCTCCTGTGCAGTTCTGTTCACTTGGTACTTTTTTTAAAGATAATCTTCCATTCTATGCTTGTTACTTTCAAGTAGCTACATCCTTTAATTTTCCGAACATTCTCGTGTGCAGTTCTCTTCTCCTAGTACTTTGTTATATTTTTTTTAGTTATTATGTTCATACCTAAGTATTTTTACCATTTTTCATCCGTTGTTTCATTAATCATACATACAGTCCATTCATTCTATCTTCCGCAACTATCTCAGAACCTTTATTCTTTACATAAAACGGTCAACAAGCAGCCTTCTGCAATATACCTATAAAGCGACTTATTGGACCATTGCTAGAAATGTACATATAGAGCCATACTACTAGCAGACAGGTCCAACACCACGCTGGCCCACCTCGACACCGTCATGTTGAATGACGATGGTAAGTAAAAATTCAAAGGCTTTCTTTATTCAGATAGAACACTTGCTATCGCTTATGCAACAATATTTTATCACTATTATGACTGGAGTGGGAACACAACGAATAAAAATATTTAATAATTGTAATAAATGTGTATATTTCCCAAGAGGGCTCACAGCGAAGAAATAACAACTACTCAAAAGTGACATATAAAAACAGATGTTAAAAATATAAATTTTGTAAAAAAATGGTAGACAAGCTGCCAGCAACAACCATCTCTACTTACATATTATTACATTTTTAGGATGCATATTTTATGGGAATTGGTACTTTTTTATGTAGTTTAGCTGTATGAGTTCAATTTAATACTGTGTAGGAACACATTTCATCCTTACAATATATTGTTCTGACTTATAGACGTAAACTGCTCATTAAAGAGTACTAGCAGCGTAACAGTAATGTGCGATCCTAGTCCTCCAGCATAACTATCGTAATAGTAGCGAGTTCGAATCCAATCGATACCACTTTGTGCCGTCAGTTTACTGACTCTCTGGTGATGGAAACATCATTGTACCAATTTTGCTGTTTGATTTCTGATAACACTATCAGTATTATTGTGTAGCACTTATTAGATACTTACATTTAAAAGCATTATAACGTTCACGTTGACTGTACACAAATTCATCAGCCGACTGTACCATTCACCTTTTAATAGACCGCAGGCGCGGCACACACAAAACATACACTGGTATCATCTGACAATTTGTGAGCAATCAGTGCATTGTCGCCGCTCTTTATTCGACGGCAAATAATACAGGGAAAATTGTCATACCAATTGTACCCGCGCCATTGTTGTCATAATGACAGTATTCAGGTTTAGTTGACTTCGGAACTGGTCATCAGTGCGAGCCTGGACGTCGATCAGGCGCTGATGTATCAGCAAATAGGCCACTTGCAAATAACAAATGAACCTATTTAGTTCACAAATTTTGAATTTAGAACGTAAAGTTGTAGTTTTTTTAATTGTATCAATTAAGATAGGTATCTGGAATAGAAATCGCTAAGACAGTACCTATACTAAAATGTAAAAAAGAAATAAATGGCTTTTGTGGAAACAACGCCAGCGAAAGCTACTTCAAAAATATCTAGACACCCTAACAATCCTTACCACATAAAGCGACCAATGAACGCCTTTATGGTATGGTCGAGGCTTCAGAGGAAGAAAATATCGATGATGAACCCAAAGCTGCACAATTCGGAGATCTCAAAACGACTAGGTCTGGAGTGGAAGAGTTTGGACGAGACGGAGAAGAGGCCATTTATTGACGAAGCAAAGAGGCTGAGGCTGAAGCATATGCAAGATTATCCTGATTACAAATATCGTCCGCGAAGAAAGAATAGACTCGATCCTACTTTCATGAACCCTGCAATTTATACGACCAGAGAAACTTTTGTAGAAGTAGAACCTCGAGCAGACGCCAGTTATCAGATTCCTATAACATATTCAGAGCAGTTTATGTATAACAATATGATAAGTTACAACGTACCCACGATGCCTCAAGCTACGTTTGTTTCTGCACCGATAAGGCCTAAGGAAGAGGCAGTTCCTAGTCTAGATCTGAGACCTTTACCGTCTATAGAGAGCATTTCACCGCGGCCATTTGCTGTCGTCAATCAACAGATGATGGTGAAGGCTTACCAGGACCTACATTACGTGCCCAATGACGTGACAAGAATATCTTACCATTACCCTTTTGGTGTTCAACAAATTTAATAAAGTTTTGGTTAATTCATTGTATTTGTGAGGTGATATGCGGAATATAATAGTGGGAGTCTTGAATGATGGTTTTATTCCAGAAAAAGTGAGAATAATAGTTATTAGGTACATTAAAATGAGGAATGGCGGAAAAGCTTTATTAAACAGTATTTAAAATAATAACTATAATAGACCGTTTATACATTTACATATTTATATAGAAAATCAGTATTATTATTATGTAGCTCGAGAGCGTCATTAAAGTTTTCGAATATTATATTTGTTTTTTTTTATTATATTACGAAGGTGGAAATCTATTATACGGTACATGTAATGGTAAACGGTTATCGTAGCTGGGCCTGCAACACAAGAGTAGTCACGTGCACGTAGTCGAACCTTAAGAAATCTTAATATATTCATGAAAAACTCTATGCTATCTAGAGAAAACCTCAGCAGGTAGTTCATTCCATAGCCGCGGAAGAAATTTCCTCTGACACTAATGAAGTTCCAGCGTGTGTGGAAGAATTCCGTGTCGACGGCAAGCGGTGCGACGGCAAAAGGTTGTTGTAGGCATCATGTCCAAGAATGTTTCATTCGCCAAAATATTTCTTTATTTGTAGCTAGGATTGTATCGTCCAATTCAGATCTTTTATATATTTTTTAATGTAACAATTTAGCAATTAATTGTAATTGGCAAAGATGGTAACGGTCCGCCTGATTGTAAGTGGCAACCATCGCTTATATGTATACATGAGTAGACCCAATATTATATTATTCAAAATATGTTTTTTTTTAATGAAACATTGAAATAATGTTACAAAACCTACGATTTGTATTGAGCCTCGTTCCTAACAATCGCTTATACATGTGTACCGTTAATAGTACACTTAATATTTTTTTCTAAAAGTTAAAAAAACCCATGAGATATATTGATCAAGCTGTCATTCTGCATCCTCGCGTCTGCTCGCTAATGATTGTGCAATGATACGCAAATGTTATTTATCATTCAAATGAAGAACAAAATATTTTTCGTAGTGATCGGGGAAAAGAAAACGATCATTTTCCGTTAGAAAGCGGATAGAGGTCGGTCTGGGATTCGGGGTTCGAGTGGAAATATAGGATGACGCGACGTTTCGTAATCGGGGATGGATTGATGGAGGCGCTGGGCATCTTGATTGTAATTGATTTCAATGTTTACAGAAAGGGTGTTCCCTCGGCGACAGTATTTTTTAGTCCGATCAAAACGTTAGATACCTACACTGTTATTACTTACCTAATATATTATAGGAATTGTTGTTTAAATCGGTTTTAAATGGCTGGCAACAAATGTTCAATTGATATATATTATATGGTACAGGTAAGGCGCTATCTCACCTGTACCATGTATTATATATACCTATATACTAGCTGACTCGGCAAACGTTGTTTTGCCATATAAGTTAAAATCGCTATTAAAAAATAGGAGTTGATCGTAGAAGGGTGAATATTAAGGATTGTATGTATTTTTAATGCCACATTGTAAAAAAATAAAATACACAAAAAAAAGAAGAATTTAATAATAGTAAAGAAAAAAAACAAAGGGATGCAGAAGAAAATAAAATTAAAGGAAGGAAAAAAGAAACAATTTTAGAAAGACGGGAGACGCTATATGGAAAAGTTATATGTTCAGATAATATTCCCGTAATACCAGCTGAAATATTACATAAGGTACGATATATAAATCACAGGCTCATAATTTCCACAGATCGCGGTCGTCAGTATACCTTTTTTTTTCGGACTACTCTAATGCTGTAGGCCGCAGCTGGCCTATACAACTTCACCGGACGATAGGGGGCGATCAGGTACACTTAGCACTTCAAACCCGCGGAAGGACTTATGGAGCGGCTGAAAGCGCCTGAAAAAGCCTGACGGATACGTCATCAGTACCTACCGTGACCAATTTTATAATATTAACTAGCTTTTGCCCGCGGCTTCGCTCACGTTAATTTACCCCTTAGGGATGGAATTTATCAAAATCCTTTCTTAGGGGATGATTACGTCATAGTAGCTTTATGCATGCTGAAACTTTGCATGCATATGCATGCATTGCTTTGCCCGATCGGTTTAAAATGGACAAAATTTCATGTAAACTTTCATCCCCTATTTTATCCCTTTGGGGATAGAATTAATCAAAATCCTTTCTTAGCGGATGCCTACGTCATAACATCTACCTGCATGGCAAATTTCAGCCCGATCCGTCCAGTGGTTTGGGCTGTGCATTGATAGATCACTATGTCAGTCACCTTTGAGTTATATATATTTAGATTCATATGTATGTTAGTCTATACGGTATTTATAATATTGGCCTAGTAGCGTAAAATAAATAAATAATTAAAATAAAAATAAAAGTCGTTTAATAAATAATAATTAAAACATAATTGATTAGAAGCCTCACAAATACGTGAATACAAAATTAATTAACGATTACGTTACCCGAAAACCATTTAAGTATAACATTCATTTGCGAACATCAACAGTATTAATTTAATGAATCACATCGATATGAAAATTACCAAAATTCAATTTTCTAATGGAACATTCCAGAAATTTCTAATCTTGCCATTATAAAGATCAGAGGTTGTGAACAGTTGGCATTAATTAACTTATTATGGTCTGTTTCTATTTGTACACGTACTCTACCTGGTTAGCTACAGCAAAATATTTTTCTTCGGTGAGTTTCTCAATTACGTGGTCTTTTGATGTATTTGTTTACACAATTCTGGATATATGAAGAGCTGATATTTATTTATGTGGTAATATCAACATATAATTAAATATATTTATTTGCTTACGTCACACTAAGTGAGATTTACAGTCTCCCAGTATGTCCACTTAGGAAGATTGTATACAAATACACACAATTACAAACACTAATTACACACATACATCTTGGACGACCTCGGTGGTCTAGCGGTCTAGCACACCGCTTTACGTGCAATGGTCGCGGGTTCGATTCCTCGCACGGCACAAATATTTATATTCATGAGTATGATTGTTTGTATCGGTCTGGACATACATACACCTCGGACGTCCTCGGTGGTCTAGCGGTCTAGCACGCCGCTTTACGTACAATGGTCGCGGGTTCGATTCCTCGCACGGCACAAACATTTATATTCATGAGTATGATTGTTTGTATCGGTCTGGGTATTTTCTATGTATAATATGAATCTATTTACGAAAAAAAATCTATGTATTTGTATCAATTATACTACCTATAATATAAGCTTTAGCTAGCTTAACTTGGGTCTAGATGGCGCTGTGTGAATTGTCCTGAGATTATTATTATTATTATTATTATACACACTAATTACACAAGAAAACAAGAGAAAAATAGTACCTAATCTTAATTTTTTTTACATAAATAATCTACTGCCATCCTAAGAAACTCCAGCAAATTACAAGTAAATATTAGACATATTTACTTGTAATCTGCTGGATCTGGAAAGCGACTAAGTACACCGTACAAATAGACTCAATGCCAGAGAAATAGGAGCCTATTTGGCCAGCTCTGTTCTTCTATGTGTTAATAATAATAATACATATTGTACCTACTGTACTTTCTTCTACGGGTATTGTACCCAAAACACTTAAAAATAGTCTGCAAACACTAAATATACATTCTAGTAAAACATATCTCTTACAAAAAGCCAGAATACTGAATATAATATAATGAATATGTCGCGTAATTAGAAAATTTCTGACTTCCTCAATAATAAAATCTTTACATAGCGCAACTTCTCCCACACTGTAGTACCTACTTTTAAATTAGATAAAAGATGAGAAAGGATGACAATTCTGTGCCATATAGTCCCAAGTTAAGCAGCATTTGTGTTGTAGGTAGGCACTAGACAACTGATATTTAGATTTTGTATATACATATATTACATACAAAATCCAGACTATTGATCTCATACATTACCCCTTTAATCGATCCCCCATCCAATTCAAACGGGAATCGATATTACGACGGCCTGAGCCGAGGTTCGAACCCCTAGTGGTGTCCTCAGATTAAAGTCGTATCCGTCAGGCAGGAGTTGGCCTTCAGTCGCTCCATAAGGCCTTCCGCGGGTTTGGAGTGCCATCTGCACTCGCCCCCTAACGTCCGGTGAAGCTGTAAAGGCCCGCTGCGGCCAACAGCATTAGAGTAGTCCGAAAAAAAAAATAATGATCTCACACATCATCAAACAATCATATTCATGAATATAAATGTTTCTACTTAGGAATTAACGAAAATTTATTTATATATCTAACTTAATTGTACAACTAAGAACATAAAATTAAAAACCTTAAAAATATAATATACTAACTAAAATATATTATCAAAAGGACTCCCTTTAGGCAAAGTTCCGATGATACTGGCAGCGTTCCCTCTTTGAATGGCTAGACTAATTCTTTGTCCGAGGTAGGAGGAATAGCAGTTAAGGAATTGAACGTTGTTTATTAATATGACAAATTGTAATGAAAATTTTACAAATTTAATTTTTTTAAGAGAAACCCATTACAGTTGTCACATGATCATAGTTTCAGTAAATGTTAATAAAGTTCTATTTGACTCGAGATAGTTGTGTAATAACTGCTCTGTATATGTACAAGAAAATCAGTTTTCCACAACTTAATAGTAATTAAAGAAACCTCATCATAGTCGGCACCAGTCAATATTTTGTATGAAAAAGGTAAACAGTAACTATTTACCTTTTTCATTGGCCCATTGGGAAAATTCCGTTGACAACACCTATGTGTTGTTGATGATTATGAATTTTATATTCGTCCTCAATGTTTGAATTTCATTCTTATTTTCTAGTACTTTAAGTTTAATCTAGTTTATTACATCTTGCCTTAATATTAATGTAAGTAGTATGTAGTTCATATATGTAAATGTGTTCAGTTTAAATGTAATTATTATTATTTTCATATATTTTCTCAATATTAATTCCTTTCAACATTATCTAAATGTTTGTTACTATTTTCTTATATCCTTTTTTTTTATTTTAAGTCGTTTTTTTATAACATCAGTTTACTTTTGTTACACTCGTTAAAAGAAATAGTAAGTTCTTTTTGAAGACTGGTCCATCCTTTCCTCAAAGGGCCGTGTTGTTTCAAACACATTCGTGTGCATCATTCAGTAAAGCTCCTTTCATTCAAAACGTTACTGCGAAAGCTTTAGACAATGAGAAACAACTGACACCTATGCTGCATTTAAGCATACC